AACGGAGCTGTGGAAGCTACAGCAACTGTTCTGAGTAAGTCCGTGCCTGAGCATGGGTCACAGAGGCAGCAGCCTCTGAGGTGTTCCCGTAGGACGCTTGCATTGCACCGTTCCATTGCAGACACTCCAGGAAGCCAGTGTGTGCCTTGTGCCTTCCAGACCCAGCTCTTTGGTGTCCCACACCGCTCCAATGCAAGCTGTGCTTTCTCTGTATGACTGGGATACCCAATTTCATCCTACCAGTTACGCAGAGAGGGTACAAGTCACACACACTTTACATGCAGCTTCTTAGTCCTTTGAGGCACCCATGTTTCTTTAGATGAGGTGGGTTTGGTATTATTTTTCCCCTCTCACACAAGTAATTCACAGTTCCTGTAACAATGGCATCAGCTTGCACAAATTAAGAGGTGTTCTTCATTAACATTTTACACAAAAAGAACGTAAACCTCTCATTAAGATCTTTTTCTAGTGACATGCTCCTGTGCAGCCAGATTGAAAGGAGGACTGTAGCTCTTCTAAGAAACAGATTTTTCTGAAAAAGCCCTTATTTAATTCGTTACACTATTGATGTTGCCTATCCGTCGTTTGCACTGGAAGCAGGTATTCACACCACATAATGAACATTATCAAAAGGTGACATTGGAGGATACCAGCCCAACTTGGTAACGTTTGAGATTTGTACTGTGCTGCTGTAGAGAACTTGCACAAGACACAGGGGTGTCATCTACCAGGGGAAATAAATAGGCTTACTTCATACCTGGTAATTTAGGTTATCCTTACAGCCATCAAGGAGCAACAGATACTTCTCAGATTAAAGATTAGGCTTGTCTTGAGGTAGGCAACTCAATAAACCCACACAATCACGAGGTACAAGTGCTTAACTCCTGTTGTGTCTACTCCTTGATGAATTCCTTTTTTGTGGAATTGCCTCTTTCTCAATGTAGAGGTGTAGAAGCTCCATAATTGTACAACACGCTAGGTGGACCACTCAGGTGGCTTACCTTCACCATGGCTGCATCTTGGTTGGCCCACCAAAAGCAAGCAGCACCTATCCTCTCTCATTCCCTTTAACATACACACTTGGTACACCTCTCAAAACTCCCTCTTAGGACAGCTTGGGCCCTTTACAAGCTGTCCAGAGCTGAACTGTTCAGTCAGGAGGTTTGACAGCTTAGCTCTAAAGTGAACTGGTAGAAGCTGAAAGAATTGTTCTTCTTCAGCTCCAAACCACATTCCTAATTATCTCCCTAGAGACACACACTGGGTACAGACAGCTAAATAATGAATCCTTCTGCATAACCAATAGTTCTGTGGATTGGAATAGAGCACTAAGAAAGAACTGGCAGGAACCAAATTTATACAGTTGTCTAAAAATGCCCAGTCATCTGCATGACTTCAAGAGTGATTAGAAATGCTTTCAGAACACTTCAGAACTACTGTTTCATTACTCGGCATTGCCTTTCAAGCACATGAGGGTGGCAAGACTTGGTGACACAGGCTAGAGAACAGAGACAATGTTTACATGCTCCTTTTCCTCTTTTTCTAGGCTCAGTAACATCTTTCATAGTGCAATATATGAAAATTAACTGGGACCTTCTTGGAGAACTGACATTAGGGATCTTCTCTGTAATAAATGCTGGTTCACTCTTTCTCATGTACTTGACTACCAACATCTGGGCATGCTACACCAGCTATCTCGTGTTCAAAGCCTGCTATATGTTCCTCATAACAGTAGCCACGTAAGTATCAAACCTCACAGGGCTGCCATTATGCACAGAATACCAACTGTGCTTTAGGGTTCCTTTGGGCACCCCTCCCTTCACTCAGAGGCAGCTGACCCAACGCTAGGCAGTAACTGTTCAGGTAAAGAGAAGGACACCTGAATGTCTGGGGATGTCAGTTTTGCACTTCTAAGCAGCCATAGAAGAAAAATTATCGAAAGGACATTGAACATTTACCTGGGCAGGAATTAAGCAAGGTATAAGGAACCTTTACTACTAACGGCAATAGAAACAGTGAAACGTAGCAGCAATTTTCCCCCTCCCTGGCATGGAAGATGCCAAGTGAATAACGGGGACAAGCACTCCCTGACAACCAGCCTTGAAGAGTCCCTAATGTTGAGGCCAGCCTGCTGGTACACTTTCCAGCATGCTATGAACTGCACAAATACAGGAAAAGATTTGGCACGGAGTGTTCCCCAACATAACTTTATACATACAATTTCTAATGATATTATGATGTTGTGAAGGAATAGAACATTGGACATAAAGACTCAGATAAGATCTCTTTGGAAACTAAGCTACTCTCTCCTCAGAAACAGAAAAATTAAGTAATATAAATAAATAATGAAGAGAAAGCAAAAAGCATAAATGAAGCACCATTTACTCCATCTTCAATCTATCACTGCTGAAATAATTTCTCTTCATCAAGTAAGCCAAGAGCAGCAGCTTGGCACCCAGCATGCCATAACTGACCTGCCAGTGTCGCCCCAGGTTCCAGATCGCCGTCACCCTGAGCGTGGAGCGCTACGCCCTGGTGTTTGGCTTCAACAACTTCATGGCCCTGCTGATCCAGACCATCCTTACGGCAGTCGTCGTGGATTCAAGAGGCCTGGGGCTGGACATAGCTACTCAGGTGAGTGCTAACTTACTATTTACTGCTTAGCCAATTCACCTTCAGAAGTTCACCAGGAAAAACTGGTGTGTCAGAGGACAATTTAACCCCTCTTTCTCATACAGAGATCCAGACATTTCACTCTTCCCTTGATCAGCCACCATTCTTCCCTTTTAGTGCAGCAGTTACAATTACAGACACTGGTCCCTGACTTTTTGAAGGTAGATGCACCAGAGTGTAAATGAGCAGGCCCTGACCAGTTTTGCCAATTAACAGGACACTGAATAACACCCTCTCTGCCCAAAAAATCAGCCTGTTTTTCTCAGAAGCATGAGCAGATGCTGTTAAGGCAGATCATGAGATCTGAAGATCATGAGATACAGCCTGGATTACTGGAGTTACTTCAGCTCATGTGGAAAGGGCACTTGCTTCCTGATTCTAGCTCAGGAGCTAAACTGGTCTGTGTCTCAACATCAATAACAAGCTTTTTGGCCCATCAGTCTAGGCTCTTAATTTGGTGGGGGATGTCCTGACTCACAGCAATGTCCAGCACTTCAGTCAGCTCAATTCCAGGTATGCTGGAGTCAACTGAAATGGACCAGCTTCTGCATTTTCTCAGACAAGATCTCAGCTGGGGCAGCTTCCTCTGAAGAAGACTAAGGCTTTTCAAATACTCTGCACAGAGAAAGCAAATGTTACTTTAAAAAATGAAAGATTTAATCAAACTCTAAAAATTAAAGCTTTTAAACTACAGACAGCAATATGTGGGACTTCAGAAATAGCCTTACTGCTGCTGTTGGCAATACTGACACCCTGACTTTGTATATTTACTGAAGCCAGTGTGGTGACAGCACTAAAATGTGCAAGTATGAGGTAAAAGCACCAGGTCAGGCTCTTGACTTACACTGTTTGTGACTATGTGGGTAAGGAAGCTGCTTCTACATTCTGTGCTAATAGAAGAAGATCCTGTTCCTACCCCTCCCACCCTTGGATGTTTGTTAAGAGGCACAGGGATTGGAAACGGGGGGCAGCTCTTCCTTCCTCGCACTGCGGTTTGCTGGATGAGCAAAGATATTGCTTAATCACTAAGCAAAACTACAACACAGAAACCTGTCAGAGCACAGGTAAATAATAACAGCATGTCTGTCATCTCTGGAAGCAGGAGCGTCTGCCTAATGTGCTTTTCATTAATTCTTCTCTTTTGCTCCCCCTCCTAGTTTTTAATTTATGGCAGTTACTTCGCAGTCATAGCTGGGATTTTCTTCATCAGAAGCATTTGCACACTCCTCTCCAGAAAATGCAAGAGGGAAATAGTGAGTTCTTGCAAAGAGTGTGTGAGCCATGCTGAAGAGGAGCCGAGGGAGCAGGTTGTAGCAGGCTGCACCACACGGCTGTAGGTGCTGGGCAGAGGGGCTCATGTGGCCAGGCTCTCCTGGGAGGGGGTCTCCTGCTGCAGCCTGTGGGGAACGGAGGTGCAGAGGGACCATGCAACACAGCCCTGAAAAGCCATGCTGAACCCTTGTGGTGCTTCCTCACAACACGTGCCAGCCAAGAGATCACCCTAACAGCCCTGTGCCAAGAAGGAAAGATAAGTTGCTTCAGATTCTTATTTGCTTGCCTATAAGCACCGGGATCAATGGCAAAGGTCAGACTTCACCCTGCCAAGCTTGTTCCAGCT